CATGACCGAAGTTAAAAGGGTTTGAAGACCAGCACAGGGCAGTCTTCCGAGTAAGCAAGTGTCGGCATCTTAAGGAACAGCAGGAAGTTCTGTATCACTGCACTGGGGTTTCTGTTCCTCAGCACAGTCGCCAGTTTTAGGCTGGCTGATTCTTGAGGGCGTTTAGTAGTCTCCTTAGCCTCTTCCTGCTCGGCGCCAGTAGTGTACACCCGGTCCTCATCTCCAGACTGTGCCAGGTGTTCTCTGGGGACAGCTGTCCCTGGCGGAAAACTGCTGTGCGTGGCCATAGGTTGCACTTGGGGCTTGGACAGGGCGTATGGTAGGAAGGATGTGGAAGCCAAGTGGTGGGGGACTCTTGTGCCATAACAGAGCTTCAGACTTGATCTCAGTGACACATGATCTTAGAAAAGGACTGTGTTGCTCTAGGTGGGTAATTAGGGTGAGACAGATTATGTGAGGCGCTAGTACATTAGTCCAGGAGAGAAATTGTTTGCATTCTGATTTGGAAGTAAAACTGGGAGTGGAGATTATTTAAAAATGCAATGTTTAGGGTTTTATGTTGTGAATGATGGAAAGTAACTGGTGTATCTAGCTCAGCTCTTTGGACAGATAAGGATGCCACTGTCGAACAGTAGGAAATTCAGGAGGAAAATACACTGGAATGGCAAGACCTTGGGTTGTTTGGGTATGCGGGTCCTAAGATTTCCAGGCTGTAGATAAGGGGTGAGTGCAGGCTGACCGAGGGTGCCTGGCTGTGCAGGCAGGCGTTCTCTGAGGACCTTGCCGCTTTCAGTAGAGAGGGAGGGTGGAGGGAGATCTAGTGGTTTCATCTGAGTAGCAGTGGGTGGCACTGCTCTTTGAATATGTGAACGAAAGAGGAGAGGACAGGGGACTCAGATCCCGTCTCCAGCCTGGGTGCCTGAACACTGCAAAGGAGTGAAATGCACTATGAAATCGTGTATAGATACAAATGAAATGTGAGAATGTAAGTGGCATGCCTTGGGACAAAGAAAGCCTTTGAAAATGACACCAAAATTTTGATTAAAAACACAGAGTATTTGTATAGTTACCGTTAAAAATTGTACAGATCAAAACATACTATAAGAAGAATTCAACCTGAGAAACAGTTGGGAGGGATGGAGTAAGTGCCTGACGAGTTTGATGACTAACAAAGAATTCATGGCTTTAATGCTGTCAGAGTGTTTTCAGAACAGTGAGAAGGAGGCAGGCACCCCAGGCAGGCTGAAAAAACATTGTCAGCCTTACTATAACCCGAGAACTGGGAGTGGAATCACTGAGATGCCATTCCATTGGCATAAAACCAACAAGGATAAAACTGAGACCACACAGCTGGTCAGGGTGAAGGAGCAGGTGCTCAGAAGCTACTGATGGGAGCAGAGCATCCCAAGAAGGGATTTAGCTCGGTCCAGCAGTCTTAGACCGACAAGTCCTTTGACTCAGCAGTTGTGTGTGTTTAACCCAAGCAAATGATAGGGATTCCTGAGAACATTTCAGCACTCTTTAGAGGACATTTAGAGCAACATAAGCTTCCACAGAACTCTGTCTGTCTAGAGGAAGAGGAATCTTTCTAACTGCACGGAAGTGTTATGTGTTCTCTGTTGATGTCTGGGGCTGCCCATGTCCAGGTTGGGCCTCCCGCTAGGCTAGCAGGGCCAGCTGGCTTAGGGCCATCCTGCTGCCACACGAGGTCGGCAGAGGGCAGGGACTGGGGCCCTTCCGGAGCTTCAATGAGATGGTAAAGAGATTTTATTTCTTCTTAATTGCATTACATTTATAAGAACTTTCTCAGTAACTGCCTCATTAATTTAGTCACTAAATACGAACGGCTGTTAGGTACCAAAGATCTGTGTTAGGCACTGCCATGGCGAAGAGCGCCCAGAAGCAAGTATTTACGCTCCAGCCTGTATGTGGCGGGTTGAGGAGCAGGTCTGGCCAGGAAGGCTGAGACGAAGGCTTGGGGCTGAGAGCTGCCCAGGACTGCAGGAGCACCCTATGAGTGGACGGAGGATGGCAGCCCCCGCCAGCGTGTGCATCCACGCCTACTGTGCTCCGTTCTGTTATGTAGCGCAGCCTCTATACTTTGCTCTCCTGCAGTTCTCACTGGAACACCTTACACAACCACTAGGTAGGTAAGCCAGAATTCTGATCTGGGTGGGGATTTCTGGGCTGAATCTTTAGCCACATGCTCTGCTCCCTCCCAGCGAGTATAAAGACCCTAGAGGGAAGGCTCCCTTGCCGAGCTGGGGCCCTGGAGCCCATGGAGGGTTTGAATGTTATCCAGGGTAGTGGACGGAGTAGGAAGCGCTCTGTGCACACACTGGGATGCTCACCTGAGGAGTGGGGCTTGCTTCATGTCCCCGTGTAACTTACCAGAATGCACTTTGGTGTCGCGAGGATGGACAGAGATGGCCAGGCGTGGATAGAGAGGAGGACGCCTCTGGGGTACAGGATTTCTACTTAACTATTCCTTCAGGGTGCCATTAAGTAGCAGTAATCTGAGTATCGGTTTCTGTTGTAAAAGACAGGAATTCCAGCTCAAACTAGCTGAAGGAAAAGGGAAACCTGACTCATGTGGCTGAAATGTCCAAGGATAATGTTAGCATCAGCATGAGTAGGTTCAAAACTGACTTGGTGATGCTGGAACTAAGTTTCTCTTTTCCCTTCAGTTGGATTTGTTCTCCTTGTGCTCACATATTCCTTTAGGTACTTGTGCAGCTGGACAGAGATCTTTTCTAGGAGCCCCCCCCACCTCCCTCCCTCCCTCCCTCTCTGTCTCTCTTTCTTTCTTGTCGTGGTACTGCAGATTGAACCTGTGGCCTTTGCACTGAGCGGCATCTCTAGCCCTTTTTTATTTTTTATTTTGAGACAGGGTCTCACTATGTTACTAAGTTGCTCAGGCTGAACCCAAACTGTGGTTCTTCTGCCTCTGCCTCCCAGATTCCTGAGACTGCCAGGTATGCGTACCACCTCTAGGAGCCCCTTCCAAGGCCTAAGGGCACTGTGAGGAGGGAACCCTAATCCACACAGTCTGCTCCTAAACCGTTTTGCTGGCCACCACACTGAGACATTGCCGATTTATATTTCTTTCTTTCTTTCTTTTTTCCAATTTATATTTCTTTTGAGCCCTTCATCCTGCTAAGACCACAGGGCCCTACAGGGAAGGAGGGTCGATTCCCCAGATGCCAAAAGGAGGTTTGATATTGGGAGACAGTAAATGTTTTCTACACATACTGTTTTTATTGTATTTCAAAAAACAAATTTTAATGTTATGCTTGCTTATTTGCTTTTATTTTTATTGTGTTGTGCAGAAATTGAAAGATTTTGCCCATTTAATACCCATCTGTGTCTGATTAGATTTAGTTTCTTTAATATACCTTCACTTTCTTTATGTTGAAAATAGAATACTTTTTTACATTTTTTTATATATACATACAACTCATACTCATCTGAAAATTTTCTGTATTATAGAATATTTTTCTCTAGTTTATTAAATATGGTTGTTCTTTTCTTATTGATTGGTACCTGGTATCTTTTCTAGTTAAGTAATTTTTCCTGTCTATCTAATAACTGTATAGTCCAGTAACTCCTATCTTATAGTAACAAACCTTGGGGTTGAAACAAGATTTTTTTGCTCAGTTCAGTGCTCTTTCGGCTCTGCTACAGCCGCTGTCCACATAGGCATTCATTCACTGCTGTACCATCCATTTATGGCAAGACAGATCAATACAAATAGTAGGGGATATATGAGTACGCATATAGACTAGAGAAAAATGGACATTAGAATAGGGATGAATACAATTTTAAAATATCAGAAGTGAATGCTGTATATGAATATGCCAGTAATTTTTAAAAATAAGAAAACAGATGTCTTTCTATACAATTTTTCACTTTTAAAATGACTCAAAGTAGTTGAACAATGCAGCCAAACCAATTACAACTCCAAAAGAAAATAATCTGACATGTATTTTAGAGAGGCCTAGAGGATTTAAATGGATGCTTTTTACAACACTGGCAAGAAACAGGAAATTCTTTTGTTGTGCAAATCAAAGCACAGAAAAAAATGAGACGCTTTCCAGATCATTGTGTGATTTAGCCTCCCACTAGAGGCATTGAAAGGGTGCACTACTAGTCCGCATAATTCTTAGCATGCACACACACATACATGTATGAAGAATTTTCATGGTTTTCTTTGTGTTATCTGTGTTTACAAAGGAGAAGTATCAGGTATTAAGTTGCCCATTTTAATGTTGTAGAATTTTTGTAAGCTTGGTGTTTTAAAAAAGAAACACTCAGCTTGGGGTTGTAGCTCAGGAGCGCCACACCTACCTGGCAAGCACAAGGTCCTGAGTTCGTTTCCCAGTGCTGAAAAACAGTGAAACACTCCATAGTATTTCTTAAAGATAATTTAAAGTATTTCATTCATAGATTTTAGTTCCCACAGTTACAGGGTAGAGACACACCTAATCAACAAATTGTTCATTTGTTCCCAATTTCCAGAATCTCTTCAACTCTTTAAAGACTTTGTGAGCCAAATTCTGTTTGAAACATAGAAATCACAGCTTATCCTGTAAGGTGCATTTAACAGCTTGTCAGTATGTATCAGTTTGTATCCCCTTTGTAAGTGACAGAGCTGGACTCAAGTGAACTGTAAACTGTGTCGTTTTAAAATATTGTCTGAGGTTTGTCAGTCTTTTTCCTGCTTCATTCCCTTCTTACAGAGCAGTTCTCTTTAAACCAGGAGCTCGAGAGAGGTATCTCTCCTTTGTTTCACATGTTGTCCTAAGAAAGGGAAGCCATACATACAGAGGGTTTTTTCCTAAACGGCAGACGGTGAGGGCACCGAGACTGTTGGCCGTGTCTTCCAGAATCAAGAAAGGACCCACCCGGTAAAACGGGAACTAGAGAAACGAGCTGGAAGGACCCGGGGGCTGCTTTCTGCTGTCCCGGTGAGGTCTGTTCAGTGCTCTGTTCCCTTGCAGATCGGCTGCCTCCGGGACCTGGTGCGGAAGAGCGAGCAGGGTCTAGGCTCGGCTGAGGGCCTCATCTCCAGGCTCCAGGACTCTCAGGAGAGGCTGCAGAGCGAGCGCGACGCCACCAAAGGCAGGCTCAGGGACACCAGGGACGCGCTGTGGAGTGTGGAGGTGATTGTGCGCTCGTACTGTAAGCTGAGCCCGGCACGAGAAGGCACAAGTGGCCACTCTGCTAAGAGCTCCCTGACATCACATTCCTACAGTTAGTGTGTTCACTCTCGGGGCTGCTGTAACAGGGTGTGTGCAGATGGGGCGGCCCTAAGCAGCAGGAAGGTGTTCTCTACTTCTGGAGCTGGAAGTCTAAAGCGACGTGCTGGCCCGGTCATTCTCCCTGCCCCATCCCTCTGCAGGATCCTTCCTGCCCTTCCCTGGCATTCCTCCACGCCTGCCCCTGATTTCAGCCTCCGTCCCCAGTGAGGACGAGTGGTGTTAGCCTAGGGCTCAGCCTGCTTCAGTGTGAGTGACCTCAGTTTACCTGAATACATCTGCACTAACCCTGTTTCTAAGTAGGGTGACATTCTGTAATGTGGGACGGACACAAGGCCATCGGGTCTTGGTGGAGACAGTCAACCCATGATAATTGGTATGTGAGCCAGGCGTGGTAGCACATGGCTGTAATCCCAGCACTCAGAAAGCAGGAAGCAGGAAGATCACCGAGAGTTTGAGGCTAGCCTGAACTATTAGTGAGACCCTGTTTAAAAAAAGAAAAAATTGGTATGTGCAAATTCCTTTACTGCTGAGAGTGGGAATCTCCCAGGTGGCACCTCCTGCTCCTCTGTGACCGGCAGATTGCAGAAAGGCTGCCTTTCCATCCGTTCCCATGAAGCACGGTGCACATCTAGGAGCAAGTCTGGGCCTCACAATTCCTGAGACCCCGCAGACTCTGCTCCCCCCTTTAGTATGCAGCTGTGAGCAGGCCTTAGTTTCCTCCTCTGCGCAGGGAGCAGGGGTTGGGATGACAGTTAGTGCTCTTCATACCACTCGTGACAAAGGGCATGAGCAGCACAGGGGTTAGCAAAGTAGCGCACTTGCAGTAAATGTTACCTTTCTTAATATTTTTTAATCTCAGAACTGGTAACGTTTCAAAAGCATGAACAATGATATTTTAGTGGACATACCTTCTACACTGTACATTCTATTCATATTTTATCTAAGGCATCATTTGTATGTACATTGTATTATAATTACTACCTTTTATTTTGGAAATCTGTGGCAAAATAAACCTGACTTCATTTTCATTCAATCGTTCCCTTCCATTTACCTCTCTGTAGTGACTTTGTAGTTTGCCAGTGTTAATCTATGGTAAGGCCAGGTTGGAACTTGGCATTGTTGTAAGACATGGCTTGGTGTATTTAATTGGTGTGATCCAAGCATTGTCTGGAACCTCAGTGGTAACATTCTGTGCTATAAAGATGACTGACCTATATTAAGAGGGGGTTTTTTCCTGTTGTCATAAATAAAAGGAGATAATAGTTTAAGAAAGTAAAAATGTATCTGAAGTGGAAGAGCTGATTTTTGTTCAGTACTAAGGATCCTCAGAGCTTGCCCCACTGCCGAGCAACACCTGCAGCCCCACACCCGGTCCCCCTGAGGTAGCCTGGTGAATGGGCTGAGTGGACCTGGGTCCGGTGCTGCCGAGGTTCTGAGCCTCTCACTTGGCGAGTGCCCTGTCCCTGACATGAGGGTGCTTCGCGTTGGCTGTTTTTCCTCTGCCTCCCACTCCTGGCACTGAGAACCATCCTTAAGGATTCAGCTTCATTTCTTTAAGGTCCTTTCTCATATTTACATTGTTCTTTATGAAATAATAGAAAATAAAAATGATAAGCAAAACCCTATCGTTTTATTTTCTGCTGTACAATTTAAATTCAGAAAACAGAGGCTTTGCTTCATGGTTTCCTGTAGCTTTGCCTAAGTTCTCTAAAAGCAGGTGGGTTTTTTAAACTTTCCCTTCAGCCCCTTCCCAGTAATGTGTCATAAAGTCCTTTGCACTGAATAAGCCACCATTTTTAAGTGATTCTGCTGCTAACAACAGTAGAAGCGATAGTCCCTAGAGGCAGAGCACTTAGAACAAGCAATGACTCAGGTTTGGGGCTTGTGCTCCCTAACCAGGGCAGCAGCTGGGAGCACGGTGCTGACCTCCATCTGGCTGGCCCCCGAGAAAATGCTCTCCCGCCCGCCTGCCTGCAGTGTTAGCAAGGCGGTGATCCAGAAGGCCCTGGTGACGGGTGGGTCAGAGCCACTCCTCGGCTGCCTGCTTCCCTCAGGGCAGTGGCCTTGGCGGCTGGGCAGGCTGCTGTTGCTGTTGTCCTCCGGACAGCTCACTTGGGCCCCAGGCTCTGGGATCCCTGCTGTGTGCTGCTATTTGGGGATCTCACCTGGCACTGAGCATGGACCGCTGCCATGACAACCCATGGGCAGTACTTGCCAGACCAGTCATTCTTCTGACTGGGACAGTGGGCTGTGACTGTAATGCACAAGCTTTGAACAAGTCCAGTGCTTTTGAATGTGAATACAGATGAATCTGAGTAACATATTTGTCTATGTGATGTGCATACCTGTGAAAGTTATTCAGTAATCAATCTATTGTTAAGTACCCAAGATAAGATAGGTTTAATTTAGATGGTTAACACTGACTTTATTGAAATAATGTGTATTATTATAAGCCTTAATAAAATATACAAGGACAGTAAAAATGCATTATGGTGAAAGATGCACTGCCAGTAATCGCCCTCAGAGCACCCTCTCTCACTGTGAGCAGTTACCCCTTCCTTCTCCCCTTTTTCTGAAGCAGTTCTGGAAGCCCTTTTTCTTGTCTGTATGGGATGTGATCAAACACTTGGGGACTACTGTTTCTGAATGCCATCGAGCAGAAAGGCAAGCTCATGAAACATTACAGCGTTCTCTCATCCACCTTGTGTACCTCGCAAAGCAACCAAAGACACTCACGAAAGAGCCCTTCTGGAACTGCTCCACAAAATGGCGAGAACGATGGGTTAAGTGTGTTCTTAGAGGGGGAGTATTTTTTTTTTTGGTACTGGGGAATGAACTTGGGTCCTTGCGCCTGTGCAGCGGGTGGCGAAACCACTGAGCTAAATCCCCGCCCAGAGGGGGAGTATTTTGAGGAGGATTAATGGCAGTATGTCTTTTACTGTAATGAGCTTTTATTTCTAAAATGTAAAGGTTCACTGTATTTTTTATCATACCTCATAGTTTAGACAAGGGTATGTAAAATGTAAACTAAGTTCTGTGCATTTATCATCTGCAGATCTTGAGAAATTATCATAGTGTGTCAGTTACTGTGGTGTGAGAATTTATAAGTTATAACAAGCACTCCATTGCCTGAAATAAGCAGCAGTATCTTTGCGTTCAAGGCCTTGAAAGGTGTTTGTTCTGTAGGCTGAGCTGGAGCAAGAGAGGCACCAGCATGAGGAAGCACTTGCTGCCATGAAGGAAGAGGAGAAGCTCAGAGTGGACAGGATGGCCCACGACTTGGAGATAAAGTGGACTGAAAATCTTAGGTATACCTTTTGTCCGTGATTGGACCTTGCTGATACAGGTGTGCAAGGGTTTTCTGCTATATGGCCCATGTTAACAGTATTTTAAATGAATTTTTCCCATGATTAGATGCAGAGATCTTAGCATTCTTTTTTCTGTTTCAATTCAGATTTACTGTTTTTCTATTTCATTGTATGGAATACAAAATAGGCAGAGAACTAACCTGAAGTCAGAAGACTTATTCTAGTACCTGTTTTACCATTGATGAATTGATAAATGAGTGAACTTGGGGAAGTGACCAGTTTAGCTTGTAGTCCTTAACTGTCAAATAATCTGCTCTTACTCCAAGTCACAGACTTTTGAGGAGGATTAATTCAGCATTTGGAAACCCTGTGAATGACTCTGTACCCATTACCTAGGAAATAATTCTCTTTACAACTAAATGCCTGCATTTCTTTCTAGACAAGAGTGCTGTAAACTTCGTGAAGAGTTACGGCTTCAGCATGAAGAGGATAAGTCAGCAATGTCTCAGCTGCTGCAGTTAAAAGAGCGAGAGAAAAATGCCGCCAGGGACTCGTGGCAGAAGAAAGTGGAAGATCTCCTAAACCAGGTACTTCACAGTCTTAGCTGAGGAGGTTCCTTTCCTTGGACATTATCTGTACCACATTGTGTACATTAGTTCACCGTGTTTTGTTATTTTTCATAGGGCAGTCTTAACATTTTTTAAAATGTGTAAAATCAGGAGACATTCACAAGCATGAAATGTTGCACTACTTATGTATGTAGTCCTAAATACTGAAAATAATTTATAATTTTTTGCTTAATGTTTGAACTGAACACATTAAAGATCTTGAACGAGAAATTTAGCTCCTTTTTGAAAATATCGAATCTTTTTTCTCAAGTCATTTGGTGTGATTTGGGCAACAGAAGGTAGTGCCCTGGTTACCTGAAACCATGTGCCAAAGGCGAGCAGTTTTCTTCCTCCTCACCACTGGGCTGGGCTTGACGCCTCTTGGAGGAGTTTCCTGTCACCAGACTGCGGTAGCATTTCTGAATCTGTTAAGTCATGCTCTCTTATTTCCAGAACATTTATAACTGCAGTTAAAACATGTGCACATAATCACTTATTTACACAGACTGCAAGTTTATGAATTCTTAGCATCCTCCTGCTAAACCAGTTATTAAATAGAACTGACTCGTGAGTCACTAGCTGAGAAGCAAGTGCAGGATTCCGTAGAAAGCAGCTTATCAGTTGACGCTAGAAATCCACCATCACCTTTCTCTTTGTGGTCATGTTGGAGTTCAAAGGAGGCAGTGCAGGCTTTGTATAAGATGGTACACACATGCAGTGTCCCTCAGGGGTGCTTGGGGCCTGACACTCTGTGTCTGCTGTTCCACAGTGAGTAAGTGTGTGTGTGTACTGAAGAGACTTTTGTGCCTTACTGTAATTGTATTTCATCCTGCTTAGAGCCAAGAAGAAATGAAAGGATTTGTCTTTCCTATGAACGTAAGCTCTTGAGAATTAACCCTCATTTGTGCTCACCCTCTAAAATTGGGCATAGAAAAGCATACAATGTTCAGTTTTCCTGCATAAGATGCTTCTATTTCGTGGAATTTCACAAAAGCTGTTTCTCTCACCCCATGCTTCAACTTAGAGTCTGTTCCATGTATTTAGTTTCCTTCGGTTATTTCATGTGTCTTCTTTTTCTGCCTGGTAACCACTTTTAGTCCAAGGCTGGTTACGCCTCCTGGGCTAGGTAATGTGTATGTCTGAGTTCTTTACAGCAAAAGAGCTACATTCTTACTCTTTGGTTCTGTCTAAAGAAAAGTGTCCACTCGGGATTTCCTGTAGGCATAGTTTGGACTTTTGTTCTTAATCCCTTATTTCCCCCTTTCTAGGGCAGTTTTCACTTTGGACCCAGTGTGATAATTAATTTACACCCCTCCTCCTGAGCCTTGGACTGAGGAGCGAGGGGCACAGGTAGGTTACTCCGAGTGCAGCTGTGGGCCTGTGGTTTGGGGTTGATGCTCCATTCTGTAGACTCGAGCTCTGAAGCCCCAGTTACTGGGCAGTTATGTGACACAGTTTGTACACTTGACAAGTCTGCTGTCCGGTAGGAAGGTGGTTTGTGTCCAGGTGCTTCCAGTAAAAGTCACAGTGCAGACAGGGACTCTGGATGGCCCAGACAGCTGGCACTGTGGGAGCAGGAGAGTGGCATCCTCAGCTGAATGCCTCTCTTCCCAGCAGCACTCTCGGGGACCTCAGACCGTGGCTGCAGTGACCTGTGTTGGTTGTAATGTGCCCCACAGGTATCAGCAAATGCTACAAATCAGCCTGTGCCCCCTGCACTGCCTCTTACTAGGGATTGAACCCGGGGCCTTTGGCACTGGGCTGCATCCCCAGCCCCTATATTTTTTATTGTGAGACAGGATTTGCTAAGTTGCCCAGGCTAGGCTTGAACTTGCAGTTCTCCTGCCTCAGCCTTCCAGAGTGCTGGAAGTACAGGTGTGCCCCACCATGCCTGGCTAAGGTGTTGCTTTTTCAGAGAACTGTTAAGCACTTAGCAGTACAGCCCTGGGTAGGAGCCGGGAGAAACAGCAGTATAGCCAACAGGATTGGGAGGGGCCAGCTTTGCAAAGGGTGAGCACAGTGGAGTACCAAGAAGAACAAATATGTATCCAGCAAGCATGCTGTTAAACCTGCATCGTACTTCCCAGGCACCATGGGGATGTGCCCCGTAATGAGTAATGAGAGAACAAAGTTGGGAGCAGAGTGGGGCAGGGTGTTATGAAGGCCCTTGTACTCAGTCAGCTGTGAGCTTCTGTTGGAGCGCTATGGAGGGGCGCGTACTGAAAACGTACTTTAAAGAGCTCCGCGTGGCTGATACTGAAATGGAGATGTCTGACTTCAAATCATCTGAATTCAGGGTCTGCAGTCAGACCCCTCCTGGATGCTGCTGTCCATCGCCGTCCCCCATGAGTGTGCGCACATGTACACATGTGAGTGTGCACACACAGCACGGCCCGTCCACAGCACCCATCCTGCTTGGCTCCCTTGGCAGATCCCCCAGGACCTCCCGCTTCCCTCCAGCTCTGGGCTTCTCCCTGGGCTCTGCTGCTGCTCTGTCTGGCTCGCCCACAGGGGATTTTTAACCAGCCAGAGTGACACTTACATTACCCGAAGGCCTCTGCCACGGTAGAGTACAGACCCTGAGGAGCGCCATCTCCCGCCGCTCTGTCTCTCCCTCCTCAGCCAGCTGGCCTGGCTGCAGGTCTCGAAGCACGCACGGCCCACTCCGCCCTCCACGTGGAACCTACTTTCTCTAGACAAGGCTGTGAGTTGTTTATTTTGTTGAATTCTGTACTCAGAAGGATCTGACTTGGCTCCTTTCCCTAACGGAGCCCCTCCCACACGCTCTCCGTCTTGCTTCTGCACGGGCAGTGTGACCCCGCCTGTCAGCACAGTCCCACAAGCCCCAGTCTCTGTGCTGAAGCCCCACACCGCTCCGCTCCTCTGCTGGGCTCACACTCAGCACTCTCGCTGTTGAACGGTGAGCAGAATCAAGGTCCAGGGACCACAGGAGCACCCATCTGATCTATGAGGTACAGACTGTCCCGCCCAGTAAGGACTGGAGTTAAGTTTATGTCATTGAGAATAGAAGAGTAACTTTGAGGGAACACATCACGTTCAGTGGACCCTTGGCTTATGAACTCAGTTCATTCCTCAGGGCTGGTTGTGACTCAGGTTGGTCAGTTGAGGCTCAGGCTCCTACACAGCCTTCAAAGCCTCCCTCCCGTGTACAGGGAGATCTCAGTGTCCTTAGAGAGACATCGGCCTGGGATTTCTCAGATAGCCCCACACAGGAAAGGATGCTGTCATGCTCCTTCCAGAGCTCGTTACGGGTTAAAGCTGTGTCTGAGACGACCTGGAAGCACAAGCGGCCGGCATTCAAGTCGTAACTGAAGACGTTGGTCATAACTTAAAACTAAAATCCCAGCCATAACCCAAGTTGTTCATATGTCAGGCTGGTTGTAACTCAAGGGCCCACTGTAATTTGGTAGAGTACTAAAGTTTGGTAGAATGTTCAAGTGGATGTGGATTTGAACTGGGCATTGAAAAGGAGGCCGTCATCTGAGACTGGGAGGCTGGTGAAGGAACTGCTGAGTTTTGTTTTGATGCATTGATTGTGCGGTCGTGAGGTATTTCAGACGTGTTTACAGTCAGAAGAGCAATAAAGCACTGAAATGCAGAGATGTTGAAAGCCGGTTTCCCTGAGGCCTGTTTCAGACTGCTTTCTAGACCAGAGCTGCCCAGCACGAGGCCATGGCCACACAGGGCTTGCGCACAGGGACGTGAGTGAGGAGTGCACACGGGCTTTTAGGCACCCGGGGAGAGTGCCTGGGACTTCTCACTGTAGGTCTTGTGCAAGTGCGTGTTGGAATGGTAATGTCTGCGATACACTGATGTGAACCACATGACTAAATGTTTACCTTTTCACTTTTCCAAGTGGCTACTGAAAATTTAAAATGATCCCTGTGGCTGCTTCCGTGGCACTCGGTGATGTTCCTGTCAGGCAGTGCCAGTCTAGCTGATCTCGACTGCAAGACAACAGGGCCAATTGGCTTCAGTGCTCAGCTCTCATTCCACTGCTCTTTCTCTTCTTTTTTGTGAGCAGGAAAGTGTTTGCTCTCTTTAGAGACTGTCCTCCTGCATGTGAAGAAGTACCTCTGTGGCAGTGTGCGTGCACCTTTTCTTACATCCTTGCCTTACCCGTGCCAGGCCCGCCTTTCCCACGCCTCGCCACCAGCCCTGTGGTCACACCGGGCCAGCCACACAGACAGACACCCTGCGCAGGGCCAGGCCTGCCTGACAGCACCGCCCCGTCGTAGAAGAAGGGATGCAAGCAGGGCCTGCAGTGGAGACATGAGCACGGGCCTGGGAAAGCATCTCTCTGGGTAACTCAGTCAGAGACCTGGGCGCGTGCCCTGGGCACAGACAGTAAATCAGTGAGGCGGAGCCCCAGAGCTGGGTCCTTCCCTCAGTGAGAAGAGCAGGAGATTGTGGAGCAGGCATTACAGCCCATCGTAAGCGCCGACAGAGATGGCCAGGAAGGAGAGGTCTGTCAGTGCGCAAAGGCGCAGGAACGCCAGAGAGCAGTCCGTGTGAGGGAGAGAAGCCAGCTGAAGAGCGCCCACTGGCCTCCGCGCCCCTCAGAAGTGAGAAACGGATGTGGTGGCTGAAAACCTCCACTGTCCAGTGTGACTTCAGAGGCCTTTGTGAGGAGCCCCAGGGTTTTCTCGTCTTGGCCCACATCACCCCATCTTCATTTGCTTAAAAATATCCCTAGTTGTTGAAATCTAAGGTAAGGAGTTACTTTTGTGTCCTCTTTCCTGTGTTCGTGACTGGAGTGCCTCTGTGCCAGGCGCTGTGCTGCAGCAGCAGTAGCCAGAGTGGTCTCTGCCTGCTGGGGCTTACAGTCCAGCAGGGAAAGCAGGTGTTAGAGCGCAGCATGGCCCACAGCGCGCGTGATGCTGAGATCTGTGGGCTGGGCCTCTGGGCTTCCCCACTGGAGGCTGCCAGGTGCGACCTGAGCTCTGCCTGAGCAGAGC